CTTCGAATAAATAATTATATATATATATATATAATATACATGTGTGTGTGTGTTATTTTTAAAAATTAGTGTGTATATAAGTTATTTTTAAATATTAGTGTGTACAGTAATAACTACTTTTTAAAAAAAGGATGTACAAAAAAGTCATTTTTTAAATATTAGAAATTTTCGGAAAGGATATACAATAAAAAGATTTTTTTTAAATGTTAGTGTATAAAGAAAGTAATGACTTTCTTTGAGAAAGAATATACAATAAAAAAGATTTTTTATATTAATGTGTAGAGAAAGTAATGACATGTTTTTTTAGAAATGATATACAATAAAAAAGATATTTTTTTTAATATTTATGTGTAGAGAAAGTAATGACATTTTTCAGAAAGGATATACAAAATGTTCTTTTTTTAAATATTACGATGTACAGAAAGTAATGAAGTTTTATCAACATGAACATATAAAAAAGTTACATGTCTTTTCTCAACAAAGAAATTGCCTTAATTAATGATGTGACAAGTTTACTCTTTTTACTAGAACATTCTTCATTAAAAGCAATTTTAACAGTTTTTTTGTTTTCAGGAAGACAGAAGATGGGGATTGGCGCTTCATTCAAATTTCTGTAGATCGTAGGTAGCAGGGAAGCAAGAAACCGCTAGAGAGTTCCACGGGCGAGAAGTGCGAAAAAAGAAACTATTAAAATATAGCGTAAGGTTTGCATCTATCTGGCTCAACAGTAAAACGATGAGACCTAACTGCCAATCTAGTCGCACACTTAAATTCATGCAGCCAAGACACCAAGAGGCAATTTCATCAGAACGATGAACATATTTGGAGAAAAGACAGAGCGAAGACACGTCACGGAAAGTGACTGGAGTCGAGATGCCAGATTAGGACCGATAACGTTACAGATTCTTTTTTAAATTATTAGGTGTAAACATAGATAGATACGGACGAATTGAGATTTACTGACAAATTTATGACTGAAGTGACAATTACTTTTTATTCAGAAAGTACCGTCAAATATATATATATATATATATATATATATATATATATATATATATATATATATATATATATATATATAAGAAAATCATAAAATAACTGTCAATGTCTTGAGAGATTGGCACGCAATCACACGAGTCATAGAGATCATTTGATCTTCTAAGTAGTTGAAAGATGCCTGACTTGACAATCAGCTTTTGAAATTTTGCTCTGGCTTGAGCTGGGAAAGCAACCACTGGTGCTGGTAGCAAGTTAGAAATTATCCCCATAGGCCTTTTAAAAATAGAGGTGAACAGGACTGGGATGCAAAGAAAGAAAGAAAGAAACGGGCTGAGATAGATAGATAGATAGATAGATAGATAGATAGATAGATAGATATGAATTGACAATAGGTAGATATGAAAAGAATCAGATAGATAAATAAAGAACATACCTATATATATATATATATATATATATATATATATATATAGAGAGAGAGAGAGAGAGAGAGAGAGAGAGAGAAAAGGGAGAAAGGGAGAGAGATGAATTGACAATATTTGCTAAATTCTGTATTGAGCACTCTTTTAAGAATAGTATATTTTGGTTATTGGAATTTATTCCGTCTACACCAATCCTATAAACAGAATAAGATAGATAGATGGATAGATAGATAGATAGATAGATAGATAGATAGATACGAAAAAGGTCGTGTTAGATAGTGTTATGGTCCGGTTCCTTGTACCACGGTGATAGTCCAAGATAGAACCAATAAAGAAGAACTCTAACACGGATATTGAATAACACAGATATATTACAAACAGGAATATATACAGAGAAGTAGAAAGTCTTAGTACGACAAATCAGGTTTAGTAGTAATTGTCTGAACGCGACTCTGTTTCGGACTGACTCTGACTCGACTGACTGACTCCTGACGGATGTCACTCCAGACTTCAGATTGAACTCCCTGCTTCCTCTTGAGACGCAGTATTTATTACGTATGGAATAGTCCATTATGTTATTATGGGTAAGGTCCCATAACAGATAGATAGATAGATAGATAGATAGATAGATAGATAGATAGATAGGAACGAGTTGAGATAATTTCGTGATATATAGCAGGAGGATCAATTCAGGTATGGGAGTAGTATACAATTAAACAGTCCGATGTCATGTTTTATTTCTAATCTAATTTTTATTATTATTATTATGGCTCTTGATTCCTTGGGGAACATATGGCCGCAACAACACCTCTCCAACGGACATGGTTCCATTCGATCCTCTTCAGCTTGGCCCATGTGCCGGTTGCCTTCACCTGTGCATCAACACTTCTGTGCTATGCTTGTTTTGGTCGACCCACGTTTCGCTTCCCTTGTGGATTCAAGTCTTGGGCCTGCATGGTAACATCTTTAACGCAAAAAATTTAAAGTAGCATCTGAATTTTAATTTATTGCCAAAATAATTCACCGGGCGACCACAGATACCTTTGTATTCAATTATAGTTTGAAATACGTTTCTGTTTGTCGCTGGACAGTTGAAATTGATTAGACACATTATAAGAAAAGATTGAATGGAAAATTTAACACTCACAGGAATTATTTCAAGGAAGGAAAAGCAGGGGGGATCTACCTAATGAGTCACGTATGTCAAATAGTTAAACGAGGTTAAGACTGTGAGGAAGTTGTGGCGACACATGATAGTCCACGTCTTTGGTCTGTACAAAAAGATAGTCGGTTGCATACTTGTATTCGTTCTGTTAAATGTGTTGTTTTTTTGTTCGTTTCATAAAAAAAACCATCAAGGTTTGGCTATGTGACTTTCCTCATATGAACTTCGAATTTTTTTCCTTTTGACAATTCAGAGATGTCATAACAGATTTTTAAAAAAATGTTTTCTGATTCGTTCAAAATTTAAATCATTTTCTGAACGTACGATTTAATTTCACTCAGCTTGAGATAAGATCTTTGTCGTTAAATCCGGTTATGTAGGAAAATGAATGAAACAAGCTGGTGGCTTCTTCAACGACGATTCACGCATACACGCACACACACACTATTTACATTATTCGGACTATTGTCTTCATCTTTGTCGTCATATTTATTACAACGTTTCGGTCGTTGTACGCTCCGGCCTTCTCCAGGTGGTTGGAATGTCGAACTGAACACTTTATTTCGCTCACTGGGGTAGACTGTTCTAGTTCCAAGTGCCATGTTTAATGGATGTCATTTATCAGTATCTCCTGTTAATTCCCCTCTCCAAGTTCTCCACCGCCTTAACCGAGTATTGGACTCACACTATTTGGGCCCTGTCATTGGATCTAACTAACGCCTTTATCCACTGTGCCATGAGTCCTTGAGACAGATACGCACACACAATTACTAATATACAGGTTGCAATAGGGAAATTGTCGCCATGTTATATTTTTAATTTCGCGCATGCGCGTTATTTGTTTTTGATTTTGTCGACTGCACGGTACAGTTGGGTAGTTGAGCACCATCTGTGTGAAAGAAATCACCATGACGCAATTCACTCCGCCAGAAATTTGGAAACGGCATGCTGTACTGCTTGCATTCGCCCCGGAAGCTACAAAACAAACATTTCAGAGTCTTTGGATGTCAATCCGAGGAGAGGGCAGGGGATTCGGAAAGAGTTGGATGAGTCTAAATGTGATTTCGTAGGTGTTTGGAGTGATCGCTAGTAATGGTGATGTTATGCCTCCATTCATCTTCCTCGACACTGAGGCCTACATCAAGTGCCTTGAGGAGGTAGTGCTGCCCTGGGTCAAGAAGGTGGCTGCTGGAAGACACTATGGCTGGCAACACGAGTCTGCACCCTCCCATATGAAAATTAGGAACAACTTTGGTTCAAAGATAGAGCCTTGGGGACGCCTAGATTAATGCAGAAAGGCCGTTCAAATTGCAAATTTAAATGTCTTTACATTTTCAGAACCTATCTAACGTTCTATTAATGTAACAGCCAAAATATTTAAATTAAAAAATGACATCACGTTCACATGGCATTGAATATATTCAAGAATTTAAAATAACTAACGCATCAAATCTGAAATAAAGGTACTGAGTCGTCCCAGGGTATTAATCCTTGACAATAACTGACGTAATTGAAAGTGCGAAATAGATTTTAAAAAATAACAGACGAATTATGGGCATATCCTTCATAATTTCAATCCCAACATCGTCCGGATATTAATCCACAAGTTAGAGAAAAAATATTCAAAAATATGAGCACAACTAGAGCGATTATATTGAATTGCAGCCATGTTATCTTCTAATATTCTCAAATACGTTTTTATGTTTCAATAACACCATACTGGCAGGGATTATAATATAATATCAAGTGTTGCACCGAGTCAGATGGCATTTTATAATTAACACGGAATAATCATTGTGTTTGATATACTCTTGTTTTTGTTTTTTTATCAGTTCCTTTATTGTCTGTAGACAGTCAAATATTTTTGAGTACTTTTACGACTAATTTTAGATGTTCGATAATAAGGTGATAAAGTGTTTACAATTTATTCATTATCTCCTTTTTCATCAAATAGAATTACTTTTCATGGAATGAATTTTAGGGATCTATCTCTGTATACAATGCTAAATTGTTGCAGAATGCTTCTCTATTTTTCAAAAGGTCTGTTATTATGCCACCTTCAGAAACTGCTTCTCCGCATTTGACATTTTGATGCGGTAACCTCATTTCATGTAGTTTTCATTTACTCCAGCAACCTCGCTATGATCTGATTGAATAACTGCTACAGATATGTTTTTTTAAAGTTTAGAAACATACATATTTAATTATTACACCTCAGTGATCCTTATGGCCTTGTTTCTGTGTCTGGTGACTAACATTCCGTCTTTCAATGCGTATCCATCTTAATTATTCCAGTGTAAACCTACGTTCTTGATTTTTGTGCAAACTGTATTTGTGTATATATTTTTAACTTTTGTGTAAACCGGATCTAAGTCTACCTTTTTGCCTCTAGTATAAACTGTATATACTTGACTCTAGAAAGAAAGAAAGAAAGAAGAAAGAAAGGTAATGTAGATATGAACAGAAAGTGATAGATAGATAGATAGATAGATAGATAGATAGATAGATAGATAGATAGATAGATAACAGGCTGAGATAGATAATAATAATAATAATAATAGCTATCCACTTGTATTTGAGGATACCTATCTACTAGGGTGGCTAGCCAACCCCAATCTCGCTGAGGCACATTTGTTTTTGTTCAACACCCACGGAGCCCACCTGTGGTTTATACTGCAGCTATGCTGAGCAGACCTTAGTTACGGGTTTCATGGTCAGAAAGCGAACGTTCTGATCACTCGTCTACGAGCATAGATAGATAGATAGATAGATAGATAGATAGATAGATAGATAGATACTAATTGGATGAGATAGAAAGATAGATAGATAGATAGATAGATAGATAGATAGATAGATAGATAGATAGATAGATAGATAGATACTAATGGGATGAGATAGATACGAACAGGATGAGATAGATAATATACGAACAGGATGAGATAGATACGAACAGGATGAGATAGATAGATAGATAGATAGATAGATAGAGAGAGAGAGAGAGAGAGAGATGGACTGTGATAGATAGATAGATAGATAGATAGATAGATAGATAGATAGATAGATAGATAGATAGATACGAACGGGATGAGATAGATAATATACGAACAGGATGAGATAAATACGAACAGGATGTGATAGATAGATAGATAGATAGATAGATAGATAGATAGATAGATAGATAGATAGATACTAATTGGATGAGATAGATAGATAGATAGATAGATAGATAGATAGATAGATAGATAGATACTAATGGGATGAGATAGATAGATACGAACAGGATGAGATAGATAATATACGAACAGGATGAGATAGATACGAACAGGATGAGATAGATAGATAGATAGATAGATAGATAGATAGATAGAGAGAGAGAGAGAGAGATGGACTGTGATAGATAGATAGATAGATAGATAGATAGATAGATAGATAGATAGATACGAACGGGATGAGATAGATAATATACGAACAGGATGAGATAAATACGAACAGGATGTGATAGATAGATAGATAGATAGATAGATAGATAGATAGATAGATAGATAGATAGATAGGGAGAGAGAGATGGACTGGGATAGATAGAGAGAGAGATGGACTGGGATAGATAGATAGAGAGAGAAATAGAGAGAGATGGACTGGAATAGATAGATAGATAGATAGATAGATAGATAGATAGATAGATAGATAGATAGATAGATAGATAGATAGATTAAATATGATGGCGAACTGTTAATCAAAACATAAAATAGAACAAACTGGACTGACAAAAGAAATAAATAAAGACAGAAAGAAAGAACGAAAAAAGAAAGAAAGAAAGAAAAAAGAAACAAGTAAAAATTCCAAATGAATGATTTTCAAAATGAAAAAAAAAACATAGAACTTGAAAAAAAGGAAAGCAAAAATGAAATATTAAAAAGAAAGATTGATGAAAAAGAAATGCAAAAAATCTAAAAGAAAGCAAAATATAAAGCGAAAGACTTATTAAAAAGAACGAAGGAAAATAATCTTGAGAAAAAAGAGACATAGAATGGTGTTATTGTCAAAAAGAAAGAAAACGTATGAGAAAAAATTATAAAAAAAAAAGCGAGAAAGAATAATAAAAAAAAACTCCAAAAGAAAGAATTAAATTATCGTAAAAAAGAAAGAATTAAATTATCGTAAAAAACAAAGAATTATGAAAGCCAAAGATCGTTAAATGAAGAAAGGAAGAAAATCTGGAAATCTACTTCTTTGGAAACGTAAAAGGAATATCCCCGGTTAGAAACAACTCCGTATTTATTTGTTCAGGTTTTTCATTCTGAGAGAGAATCATTTTGTTTTCTTTTTACCCAGTGGAAAAGAAGAATATTGCAAGACTATAAAGCATCTTTTTCCTTTTTGTGAGAAGTGTCACGACATGGTACCGCGGATCGAACACACCACCTTTTCCCCTTTATCAGACGGTTTTGTTAGCCAAATCAAACTAGATTCAATAGTGGAAGAAAAAAAAAACATTTATAATGAACTGGCCGAAAGGGATCGAGGAAGAGAGTGTCAAAGGTTACATCGAGCGAAATACACACACGTTAAGGAATTTCTTTAACTAGTCAGAAGAATGTCTGTAGTTATTCATATAATTTTTGATATTGCACCCGTCATCTAGTTTGGCATTCTGTACTGTTCCTTACGTTTCGGCCAAGAAACACTCTGACCTTCATCAGTATTTCTGAATTTGTGAATTTGTGACAGCATTTGAAAGACTTAAGACTTATTCTCAAAATGTGATGCCCGAGTAACCAAATGTGGATTCGATTCAATCTGTGTTTGTTGTAACTTTTGTACTGCAATTCGTACATTATTTTTTTTTTAATTATTTCTTTCTTTCTGTCTGTCTTTCTTTTTGCTTGTCTTTCTTTCAACTCATTCTGTAGCTGATTTTCTTTCTTTATTTTTCTTCATTTTCTTTTTTGTTTCTTTTTTCCTCCAGTTTGTTTAATTTTTTTTTTCTATTTTTCCTTCTGTTCACTCAATTTATGAATCGTTATTGCAATTCATTCTTCTCGTTTTCCTTTCTTTCTTTTTTTTCTATCTTTTATTCTTTCTTTCTCTTTTCTGATTTTAATGTTTATTTCGTTAATTCTTTCTTTCTTTTTTCCTTCTATTTTAATTTCTTTCTTTCTTTTTCTTTAACTTTTATGTTAATTCTTTCTTTTTCTTTCTTTTTAAATTTCATTAATTCCTTCTTCAATTATTTCTTTCTTTTTATTTCTTTAATTCTTTCTTGCTTGCTTTTTGTCTTCTTTTCAACTCATTCTGTAGATCGTTATCTTTCTTCGTTTTTCTTCATTTTCTTTTTTGTTTCTTTGTCTCATGAATTTTTTTTTAAATTCTTTCTTTCTGTTTTTCTTTCTTTTCACTGAAATTTACAAATCGCTATTGCTATTCATTCTTCTCGTATTCCTTTCTTTCTTTTTTCTATATTTTATTCTTTCTTTTCTTATTTCTTTCTTTAATGTTTTTGCATTAATTTTTTCTTTTTTTTCTTTCTTTAATTCTGATTTAATTAATGTCTTTATTTCTTTCTTCAATTTTTTCTTTCTTTTTCTTTCTTTAATTGTGTCTTTCTTAGTCTATATTTACTTATCTCTTTCTTCAATTCATTCATTCTTTTTTCTTTCCTTAATTCTTTTTCTTTAATTATTTCTTTCTTTTCTTTATTTAAAACTTTTTCTTTAATTCCTTTTCTATAATTCTTCCTTTTTCTTAATTTAATTATTTCTTTAATTAATTCTTTCTTACTTGAATTAATTCTTTCTTTATTCTTCCTTTTTTTATTTATTTCATTCTTCCTGTCTTTTTTCTTTCTATAATTCTTTCTTTCGTTTTTCTTTCTTTTATTCTTTCTTTCTTTTTTCTCTCGTTAATTCTTTCAATCTTTAATTCTTCTTTTCTTTCGTTCTTTCTTTCTTTTTTCTTTAATTGTGCCTTTCTTTTTTCTTTTTCTTTCTTTTGCTTTCTTTAACTCTTTCTTTACGTTTTCTTTCAATTCGTTCTTTCTTTTTCTTTAATTCTTTTTTTCTTTTTTCTTCCTTTAAATCTTTCATTCTTTCTTTCATTATTTGTTAAATGTTTTTTTGTCTTTTTCCTCTTTAATAATTTCTTTCTTTCTTCTTAATTCTTTAATTCTGTCTTTCTTTATTTTCCTCATTCTTTTTATTCTGCTTTTTTTCTGTAATTCTTCCTTTTTTTGCTCTTTAATTCTTTCTTTCTTTAATTCTTTTTCATTAATACTTACTTTTTCTATCTTTAATTTTCTTTCCTTTTTATTTCATTAATTCCGACTTTCTTTTTCTTCCTTCAATTCTTTCTTACTTCAAATTTGTTTTTCTTTGTTTAATTCTTTCTTTCTTTTTATCACTTTAAATCTTTCTATATTTCTTTCTCTTTTTAATTCTTTCCTTCGTTAGTTCTTTTTTCTTTTTCTTTCCTTCTTTTTCCTTTCTTTTATTATTTCATTCTTTAATTCCTTTCAACTCATTCTGTAGATCGTTATCTTTCTTCGTTTTTCTTCATTTTCTTTTTTGTTTCTTTGTCTCATGAATTTTTTTTTAAATTCTTTCTTTCTGTTTTTCTTTCTTTTCACTGAAATTTACAAATCGTTATTGCTATTCATTCTTCTTGTATTCCTTTCTTTCTTTTTTCTATATTTTATTCTTTCTTTTCTTCCCTTTTTCTTATTTAATACTTTTTATTTCTTTTTTCTTTCTTTAATTCTTCCTTTCATTCTTTCTTTCTTTTTTTTACTTTAATTCTTTCTTTCTTTTTTCTTTCTTTAATACTTTTTCATTAAGTCTTTCTTTTTTCTTAATTTCATTCTTCCATTTTTTTTCCTTTTAGTTTTCTTCTATTTTCTTTGTTTAGTTTTTTCTTTCTTTACTTCTTCCCTTTTTCTTATTTAATACTTTTTATTTCTTTTTTCTTTCTTTAATTCTTTCTTTCAGTCTTTCTTTCTTTGTTTTACTTTAATTCTTTCTTTCTTTTTTCTCTCTTTACTTTCTTTTCTTTAATAATTTAATAATAAATTTCTTGCTTTACATCTTTCTTTTCCTTCCTTCAATAATATCATTCCGTTTTCTTTAATTCTTTCTTTCTTTCTTCAATTCTTTCGTTTTTTTTTCCTTTTTTTTCCTTTTTAATTCTTTCTTTCTTTTTTTCTTTCTTTAATACATTCTTTTTTCTCTCCTTTAATTTATTCTTTTTTTCTTTCTTTAATTTCGTCTTTCTGGTTTCTTTCTTTATTTTTTGCACCTTTAGTTCTTTCTCTCTTTTTAATTTCTTTAATTCTTTCTATCTTTCTGTTTTCTTTCTGTCTGTCTCTTCTTTAACAGATTTTCTCATTTTTCTTCTTTGATTTTTTTTATTTTTTCTCGCTTTAATTATTTTTTTTGTTTCATTAATTCTTTTTTTTTTACTTTCTTTATTTCCTTTTTTGTATCTTTAATTCTTTCTTTCCTTCTTTTCCATTTTTTTAATTCTTTCTTCCTATAAATATTTCCTTCTTTTTTAATTCTTTTATTTCTTTTTTCTTTCGTTAATTCTTTCAATCTTTAATTCTTCTTTTCTTTCGTTCTTTTTTCTTTCTTTTTTCTTTAATTGTGTCTTTCTTTTTTCTTTTTCTTTCTTTTGCTTTCTTTAACTCTTTCTTTACGTTTTCTTTCAATTCGTTCTTTCTTTTTCTTTAATTCTTTCTTTCTTTTTTCTTCCTTTAATTCATTCCTTATTTTCCTTTAATTCTTTCTTGTTCAATTTTCGTTCTTTAATTCTTTCTTTGTTTAATTCTTTCTATTATCTTTCCTTAATTCTGTATTTCCTTTTTTCGTTGTTTTATTCTCTCTTTCATTTTCTTTCTTTAATTCATTCTTTTTCTATCTTTATTTCTTATCCTTTAATTCTTTCTTTCTTTTTCTTTCTTTATTTCTTTCTTTTTTTTAATTCTTCCTCTAATTCTTCTTATCTTTTTTCTCACATTAATTCTGTCTTTTTTTTCTTTCCTTAATTCTATTTTCTTTTTTCTTCCTTTAAATCTTTCATTCTTTCTTTCATTATTTGTTAAATGTTTTTTTGTTTTTTCCTCTTTAATAATTTCTTTCTTCTTAATTCTTTAATTCTGTCTTTCTTTATTTTCCTCATTCTTTTTATTTTGCTTTTTTTCTGTAATTCTTCCTTTTTTTGCTCTTTAAGTCTTTCTTTCTTTAATTCTTTTTCATTAATACTTACTTTTTCTATCTTTAATTTTCTTTCCTTTTTATTTCATTAATTCCGACTTTCTTTTTCTTCCTTCAATTCTTTCTTACTTCAAATTTGTTTTTCTTTGTTTAATTCTTTCTTTCTTTTTATCACTTTAAATCTTTCTATATTTCTTTCCCTTTTTAATTCTTTCCTTCTTTAGTTCTTTTTTCTTTTTCTTTCCTTCTTTTTCCTTTTCATTTTATTATTTCATTCTTTAATTCCTTCTTTCTTTTTCATTTTTCAATTCTGTCTGCCTTTTTACTTTCTTTAATTCTTTCTTTCTTTTTTAATTCATTCTTTCTTTAATTCTTCCTTTTTTCTTTCTGAAATTCTTTCTCTTTCTTTCTTTAATTCTTCTTTGTTTTTCTTTCTTTAATTCTTCTTTCTTTTTCATTCTTTAATTTTTGTTCCCTTTTTCTTTCATTAGTTTTTCTTTTTTTCTTTAATTCTTTTTTCTTTTTCTTTCTCTAATTCTTTCTTTAATTCTTTCTATCTTCTTTCTTTCTTTTTCTTCCTTTAATTCTGTCTTTTTTATACTTTGTATATTCTTTCTTTTTCTAAGTCTTTTTTTTATTTTTTCTTTCTTTCTTTTTCATCCTTTAATTCTGTCTTTTTTCAATTTTGTATATTCTTTCTTTTTGTAAGTCTTTTCTTATTTTTTCTTTCTTTAATTCTTCCTTCGCACTCACTTTGGTCATCGTTTTCATTCCTAATTTTTCTTCATCTTCATTTCTTTCGTTCTTTTATATTTTCTTTTCTTAATTCTTTTTTCCTTTCTTTCTTTTCACTCACTTCCTACATCGTTATCACTTTTTATTTTATCTTCGGATTCTCTTCTTTCTTTCTTTTTTTTTTTGTTTTCTTTCTCTATCTTTCTTTTTTTGCATTTTCTTCTTTGGCATTTTCTTTTCTTTTTTCATTTTCATTTGTTTGTTTATTTCTTTTTTCTTTAATTAATTCGTTCTTTCTTTCTTGTTCCTTCATCCTTTTTTTATAGCTTTTCTTCAATCTTTTTCGCTTTTTTTTTATTTCCCTGTTCTCTTTCTTACTTTTCTTTCTTTTCTTTCTTTGCACTCGCTTCCTACCTTGTTATATCACTTCATTTTTTCGTATCACGTTAAAACACCGGTCCCCGTACGATCACCGAAGTTAAGCAATGGTGAACTTGGTCAATACCTAGATGGGTGAACACTTGAGAATACTAAGTGTTTCAAGCTTGGATGTGCGGGTGATGTAATAATATAATGACTCGGAATTATTAATCGGAGAGCGGAGTTCAAATTCCCATTATATCCACTTACGTACAAATAGCCTTGGGAAAGGTATGAATACATCTTTTCTCCCCTCGCCTATAGATTAAGTAGAAAGCCCCCACCCCCACTAAAAATATTAAAATTTGAAAATATTTTTCTTGCTTTAAATAACCTGCAAAAGGTTTATAAACCATAGAAAACGAAATAATCAACAAGAGAAAAAACATTTATGCCAACACGTTTCGATGCTTGAGGAACACTTTCCTTCAAGTAAATCAATTCATTTTCCTTTTTCTCTGTCTGTCAGTCATTCAGTCAGTTTTTTTCTCTTCGTCTTTTTTCTTTTCTCTTTTCTTTTATTTTCTTCTCCAATAGTTTTCTTCATTTTCTATTTTCATTTATTACTTTTTTCGTTTTCTTTTTTCTTCATTCTTCACTTTTTTCCTCATTTCGTTTCAATTCTTTTTCGTCTTTCTTCTTTCGTTCAGGAACTTCTTTATTTCTTTCTTTCTTTCTTTCTTTCTTTCTTTCTTTCTACCGATCTACGCTATCAAATCTTTCCTTTCTCAGTCTTTTGTTGTTGTTTTCTTAAACAGAACTTCTGCACACACAGACGTAATATATAAATTTATATACAAGATGTGGTAAAATTATGGCATACATAATAATCTCATGAATTGACCCTCGCAGAAAAAGTTCTGAGAAAATTCCCAGATGTTCCTTGATCAAATTTATTGATAAATTCAAAAATATTACAAATATAAAAAAAAATACACTCAAAATTTACATCTGTATCCATACCTCTAAGCATATTACACATACAGGTTCGTTACGCGGTGACAATAGTCAATAATTAGTATAGATTAGAAAAATATAGACAATGTAAGTGTGTCATATGTACTTTTATTTTTATAAGGAGTTTAATATGGTAAAAAGATACTATCAATTTTGAGACCATCACATTTAGAAAGTATGTCAAATATAGCACCCAAATTATTATTATTATGTCTTACGTTTTTTTTTATACATATATGCATTGTGCCAGATGAACTTAAACCATTGAAACGTAAGTCACACATCTAAACGTAGGTATTTGTATATGTATAATTATTAATATATACCTTTGCTCTGTCACGTCGAGCACTGTTATGTTTGCACATCATGAATGAATTTGATGATTATTTATTTGCTTGCCATTCTATGCATGTGAACACGTCAACGATATATATATATATATATATATATATATATATATATATATATATATATATATATATAATGAATCATTCATACAAAACGTAGATTAGTAAAGTTAATGATATAAAATGGCGAAAACTCTTCGCAAACAAAATTTTAAAGTTGCATTAACCTACGTACCACACGATGAATGTTATTATCCTTGTTTTAAATAACTACAAGCTGTATAAGGTCTTTTTTAAAATCTGCTAGTACTTTCAACCGTACACACAGTCATCCTCAGGCATGGAAATTATTTTGTTTTTAGTAAATACTGGTATATATGCGGCTTGGTGATAGTAATCGTGGCTCCTGAGGGCACAGTCCTATGGTTACAGAGAACTCAGTAAGAATATGTGAGCGAACGGCGCTATATTGAGTCTGATTTGCAATCTCTTTATCACCGAGGCCCGGCGGAACAGTGGGTATAATGTTTGCTTGACAACCTAACTATCAGGGTTTCAATTCTCGGTAGTGGATGCGCACTGCTGATGAGTCCCAAATATAGGACGAAACGGTTGTCCAGTGCTTTCTGCATTCTGTTGAGGTTTCTTTCAGAGTCGATGAATTACTTAATTATATTTATCAAATCCTCCTAATAATTTCTATCATATAGATATATATATATATATATATATATATATATATATAATGAGATCGTAAAAAGAGAAAAAACGTGTAGAAAAAAAACATAATAATAACGATAACTAATTATGTATCTAAATATATATGTATGTATGTATATATATATATGTGTGTGTGTATATATATATATATATATATATAACATAATAGTAATAGATAATAACAACACTTGTATACATAAATTATATATATATATATATAATTATTAAATCCCCCTAGTAATTTCTATCATGTACATCATTGCTTGAACCGGCTTCTAATGCTCTCGGCTTGGTGATAGTAGTCGTGGCTCCTGGGGGCACAGTCCTATGGTTAGAGAGAATCTCAGTTGAGTTCCACCACGGAATATGTGAGCAAGCGGCGCTATATTGAGTCTGATTTGCAATCTCTTTATCACCGAGGCCCATTAGAACAGTAGGTATTATGTCAGATTGACAACCTAACTGTCAGGGTTTCAATTCTCGGTAGTGGCTGCGCACTGCTGATGAGTCCCAAATATAGGACGAAACGGCCGTCCAGTGCATTCTGTTGAGATTTCTTTCAGACTTGATGAATTATATATATTATTTTTGGGTTGCCCCAATTATTTTCTCAAAATTTCTTTAATGGATGGTGGGTTTTTGACTTCTATAAATGCTTTTCCAATTTCCCTGTAAAACTTCTTCAGATATTATTATTACTATTATTTCCTTTGATTTCTGTTGTATACATATTTCCTTCCGGGTCCCAACCAGAGACCTAAGGTCAGAAATGGCATCATGACATTTTTCACTGAGCATTTTTGAGAAGAAAAAAATAAAATAAATAATAAAACAACGTAAAATCACTTACATAGAATTTATTATTTAGTATTATTATTATTATTGCTTTTTCTCTTTTTATTTTCATTATTATTACTACTAGTATCAATATTACTATTCAGACATGGGTAAACACTAATTATAACGTTTATAGTACTGATATATATATATATATATATATATATATATATATATATATATATATATATATATATATTCAGAATGTTCATTAATGAGTACGCATTCTGACACTGTAATTAGCCGAATTCTTGTCTGCAATATAGCGGGGTTTATTGAGAAGTGTTAGGCATCAACAATGAAAACTAAATACATATTGAGGGTGTACAGAAATAGTTGTTATTATTATCGATTTATTGACATTATCAGAGAGGATAACACCTAACCGGATAAAAAGGCAAACTATTAACTATCAAATAAGAAAAAACGAAATAATCTGCAAACGAAGACAAGTATATCCAACATTACAAGTTTTAGCATTAATTGAAAAAAAAAGTATTTAAACAATCAATAAATGAAAAAGAAATTCGATGTTTAAAAAAAAAATGAATAAAAATAAAAAACGGATTGCACCTATATATTTTCAAAAACTTTCGAAAACCCTACAATATTTCGGAAACTTAGCCTTCAAAACTGAATATAACATTGTTAATAACATTTGTTTTGGGTTACAAACAAAAGAAGACTCAGCTGTTAGGTGACATCGGTCCTTCTTTATGGCAGCGAATGTTGGACGATTTTCTCAAAGACGAAGAAGAGACTCGAGGCGATGGAGATATGGTTCTACAGAAGGATGCTGAGGATATCATGGAACGAGCGTGTGAGCAACGATGAGATCTTAGAGAGGATACAAACAAGGAAGAAGGCTTATACTTAACATCAGGAAGAGGCAGCTGAAGTTTCTGGGACACATAATGAGGAAGGAGGGCCTGGAGAATCTGATAAACACGGGTCGAATAGAGGGAAAGAGAGACAAGGGAAAACAATGCGTGACATACCTAGCGGGCTTTTAAGCAAGTGGATGAGAGAACGTTGTTTCGGGGAGGTGGCAGTGGGAAGGAACTTATTGGAGGCTACAAGGGATAGGAGGAAGTGGAGAGCCATGATCGCCTACGTCCTGAACGGACACGGCACATAAAGGTCGAATAGAGGGAAAGAGAGACAAGGGAAAGCAACGCATGACAAACATAGTCTGGGAGAGGAAACAGAAGCAAGAAACTTGTTGAGAGCTGCAAGGGATAGAGGGAGGTGGAGAGCCATGATCGCCTACGTCCTGAAAGGACATGGCACATAAAAAGAAAAGAATCGTTTTCTTCTGACACTTCGAAAGATGAAGCAAAATGGAAAATGAATAATGAGAGTATAAGGAGACAACATCCAACACATGTTCACATACGCACGCATACACACGGATACACACGCGCACATACATACGCGCGTACACGCACACGCACACGTCCTGGGTATGACGATAAACTACATCCGCGTCCTGGGTAAGACGACAAAACTACGTCCGCGTCATAGGTAAGACAATAAACTACGTCCGCGTCATGGGTAAGACGATAAACTACATCCACGTCATAGGTAAGACGATAAACTACATCCGCGTCCTGGGTAAGACGACAAGCTACATCGAACAGGAAGGTCTCTGATCAGGAGGTTTTGAGGAGCGTGGAACGACCTCTTGTTGGTGTACCTAGGTCCACTCTGACACAGGGTGGTAACCCCAGTTAGGGTCCCAGATATAAACTGGGGTCAAAACACTATGAAAGTGTGAATATTGTTTTTAGAATTTGTGACCCTGGGTTTCACACTTTTGCGATAGCAAAAAGGGAAACCCAGGGTCACAAACTCAATCAATCAACAAATATATATATATATATATTTATATTTATATTTATATATATATATATATATATATATATATATATATATATATATATATATATATAAATATATATATAGGCTACAGATAGAGGTTACAACATTATATATATATAAATACAGAGGCTACACATATATATATATATATATATATATATATATATATATATATATATATATATATATATAGAGAGAGAGAGAGAGAGAGAGAGAGAGAGAGGGTTTATATATATATATATATATATATATATATATATATACATTATAAATATATATATATATATACATACAGAGGTACAACATTATATATATATATTATAAATAATATATATATAGAGAGAGAGAGAGATAGATAGATAGATAGATAGATAGATAGA